GGGCACCTCGCCGTCATCTCGGCACCAGCTGATGCGCGGCGTCGGTTTGCCAGACACGTAGGCGATGATTCGGATGGTGCCGCCGGCGTGGACCACGATCTTCTCCTTGACGGAGGCGTCCAGGTCCATCTCGGGCGCAACTGAAGGACGAGAATCAACGAAATAAAATAAATCAACCGAGCGACGGCTGGTAATTTGTCAAGCGTTTGAATTGTGGTCCCTGTACGTCAAGGCAGCGGCGTATTTCGTCTTACTTGTCCTGTCTCTGGCTTCGATCAGCTCCGAAACGAGTCCAGGCTCGCCGACGCCGGCGGCGTTCACGGCTCTGACTCTGAAGCGGTACAGAGCACCTTCTTTGAGCTCGGCCACCACAAACTTGGTTCCTCTGATCTCCGTGTCCTTGGCCTGGAGAGAGCGCAACCCGGGAATGAGGGACACATTCACCAGTTGGGGAAAGCCGACTCGCCCGGGACGACGCTGCTGGAGTGATCTTAGTTTACCTTCCGCCAGCTCTCCGGGGCCTCGGGCTCCTTCTCGTCAGCGCCGCTCAGTAAAAGCAACTTCCTCTGAGCCTTCTTCTCCTCCTCCTCCCTGCTCACCTCCTTGAATTCCACAATGTAGCCGGTCACCTTGGAGCCTCCGTCCACCAGGGGAGGAATCCATTCCAGCTCCACCGTGGACCTGGTCCAGTCCGTCACCTTGGGGGTGGGCGGACCGGGAGGCTCTGCGCGGTACGCGAGAGATGGGGGGTAAGACACTGTCAAGAAAGTCGCGAGACGTGAAAACAAGGCGCGCACGGTCGGCCACTCGTGAAAGCGAGATGCGGATAGTTGGCGAATCGTAAACAGTATTCGCGGACAATCTGCAATTCTTGAATACCGGTTGCAGACGGCCAACGACAAGTGAGAACCAGTCACAGACTGTTGACAACTCGTGAATTTGGATGCAAGCAGTCAGCGAATCATTAAAAGTAGTCGCCGACAACCCTCGCATCCTCCAAGGCCATTTCCAATGAAGTTGAGACGTCGGCACCTCATTCAAACTCGATGCGGTCATTCAGCAAGCCATGAAAACGCGTCGCGGACACTCGTGAAAAGAAGCCGCAGACGGTCGCGGACTCGTGAGGACTAGTTGCAGATGCTCGGCAACTGACTTGCCGCAGAATGTCGGTAATTCATGAACATGAGTTGCAGACAGTCAGCAACTCAAGGAAACAATACGCAGGCTTTGAATGTCATGAAAACAAGTCATGGACGTCAGCAGCTCATGAAAATTCGACACAGACGACGAGCGACTCATGGCAGCGCGTTGCAGATGAGAAATCGTTGCGGGCGGGTCGGAAACTCGTGAGAACGAGTCACGGGCTCATGGCGGTCGCTGGCTTGAACAGATGACTTACTGATGGGGTCCCTACAGAGCACGGGGTCCGAGGGTACGCTGGGTAGTCCGCATCCGGCGGCGTTGGCAGCGCTGACCCGGAACTGGTACATGGAGCCCTCCACCAGGCCGGTGACGTCCCAGTTGTTTCCCAGCGGCAGGGCCCGGATGGGCTCGCGGTTGACCCGAGCCCAGCGCTTGCTGGTGGTCTCCTTCTTTTCGATGAAGTAGCCGGTGACTGGCGAGCCGCCGTCGTATTCGGGCTCCTCCCAGTTAACCGTCATGGACTCCAGACACACGTCGGTCACGGTGGGCTTCTCACACTGGCCAGGAACGGCTGCACACATTGCACGTTTCAATTGAGGGTTTTGTGCGTTGCGAGGGTCACGAGTTCACGTTTCAAGTCCGGGTTACGATTTGAAGAGAGTGCCGAAAGCCGCCAGGTATAGGGTTGGGCTTTCAAATCAGGGTTTCTGGCCGGTGCGAGGGTACAAAACAAGGGTTACGGTTTCAAGTTCAGGTTTGCTTTAACGATGTGGGTTTTCAACAAGGCTTTCAAATCAGGGGTTCAATCCAGGGTTAGGGTCTGGATGTTGGGTGAGGGCTTCAAATAAGGATTTGATGCTCGGGTTTGGGTTTCAAACACGCATTAAGGTTAAGGCCAAAGTTAAGGTTTCAAGCTAGTGTTGCGATAAATGGAGGGATTTCCACTTTGGCTTCGAAGACTGGCTTTCAGGCGTGCGGTAGCTCTTCAAGTTGGGTTGATTTTCAGAAAAAAAAGGTTTGGTTTTGCAATTTGGATGTCAAACTGGTGTTGCGCGTGGCACTCACTGAAGAGGTTCCTGGCCTTCTCCGGCTCGCTGAGTAGCGGCGGCCCGACTCCAAACTTGTTCTGCGCCATGACTCTGAACTCGTACTCGTGGTTCTCCGTGAGCCGGGTCACCAGGTACGCGCAGTCCTTGGGGTCCTTGGACACGTGCACCCATGACTTGCGGTTGTCCTCACGCTTCTCCACCACGTAGTTGGTGATCTTGGAGCCGCCGTCGTCCAGGGGCGGCTTCCAGGCCAGGCCGATCCTCTCCGCAAACACCTCGGTGAACTTCATTGGTCCCACGGGGGGGCCGGGAGGTCCTGCGAGAGTCGCGCCAAATCTCACTAAAGCCTCGGCGGGCCCATTTGCATTTCGTCTTTTGAGAATTGTTTCTTTTGAAACTTGGATTTCGTTCCAATTCTGATGCGCGGTACATTTCACGTGTCATCGGCGCTCACCAAAGACAGAGAGTTTGACGTCCTTGGTGACGGTGCCCAGGGCGTTGCTGGCGGTCAGGCTGTAGAGGGCGCTGTCGTCCCGCGTGGCCTGCTGCAGCAGCAACGTGCACTTGTCCTGCGTCACCAGCTTGGCGACGCGCTGGTCGTAGCGCACGGCCGCCTTCTGCTCGGGCGCCGCCGGGTCGGCCTTGTGCCACGAGAGGCTGGGGAAGGGGCAGCCGCTCACCTTGGCCGGCAGGCTGACGTCGCAGCCCTCCTCGCCCTCCAGCGCCTCCCGCAGCTCGATGGTGGGTGGGCCTGAAACGGCGCGTCAGCCACGTCGTTACCAGAACGAGCAGCGTTACGTGATGAGGATCCGCAGACTGATTACTCCGAGCGCGACAACAAATACTTCTGCTCCAGCCAATTCTGTCACGGCAGTAACATCAACGACAGAGTGGTTCTCTGAGGTCTGCAGACTCGGATCAGTTTGTGGAGCCCAGGTTTCAAGCACCTATTGCTAATAGCTACTTGTACCGCTGCTACGACTAGTGCTACTTCTACTACCGCTCCTACTACTCGTAATTAGCGGCAGATGTCATTTTAATGAGCCCTTCGAGTTGTGTTTCAAATGTCCTCATTCTACCAAGGGAGACACGCCTCGCAATATTGTGCTTTTTCCTAAATACATTCCAAATAATCTTGACAAAGTTCAGGTTAGGTTAGCATGTGGCTTGGCCCTCGGCAAGCGCTCCACATTCTGATGTGGCCCCTTTGCAAAATTCATTGCTCATACTGGACCGAAACACTTCTGCTGCATTCGTACATTTGCAATAAATATTTCCGAACAGTCTTTTTTTTTTTAACTTGGGGTACATTTCCCTCTCATTGTGACTTGTTGACATGCAACACGTCAACTTAATCATCATTTTTCAATTTTCAAACGACGCAATGTTACAGTGTTTCGCAACAGTATGATGTGTACTTTTTAGGTCAAACAAAAATCTGTTTCATATTACGCTCTCAATGTGACCAATGCTATCATAGCAACTTTTCCAAATAACTACTTGTCCGTACTATGAGTCCGAGCGAGCGAACGACAGAGGGCTACATTTGCTGTTTGGGTGTCTTGGCAAAAGTGAAGTTGAGGCCAGTCCGACTCACAGGTCTGGTCCTTGATGGTGAGCGGCCCGGCGGTGGCCGAGGGTCGACTGGGTCCGGCCTCGTTCACAGCTTTCACTCGGAACTCGTACTCACCGCCCTGAAAAACACACGCACGCCCGCACGCACGCACGCACACATACACACACACACAAAACACGGTCACGGCATGCTTGTGGCAGTCGCTCCAACACTGCATGGGAGCCTCAATTGCCCAAAAAGGAAAGAGGACTCGAGGACCGACCTCCTTCAGGTCCTCCACCACGAAGCTGAGCTCCTCCACGTCTCGCTTGTTGCACTGCTTCCACGTTTCCTTCTCTTTGCCGCTGGTGTCCCAGCTCAAGCGCTCCACCACATAATGTTTGACGGGAGAGCCGCCGTCGTTTTTGGGAGGCTCCCAGGTCAGGGTCACCGTGTTCTTGGTCACCAAGGTGACTTTCAGCTTGGTAGGCGGGTCTGGCGGGTCTGCAAATCAGGCATTTAAATTTTTTTTTTTTTTTTTTTTTTTTTAGCAGCGCCATCATTTGCACAATTCAATTCACTTGGATCATCACTAGTCACACACTTTGGATTGCTCAGGACTCGCCATCCGGTGGGCGATGAGGCCAGACCCTAAATAGACCCATTACAATAGGTCATGTGTCTTTTGTTGAAAGTACTAGTCTGACCCCAACTACATGGCACAAAGTCCTTAGATGTTCGAGCAAACGCCGCGAAAAAGGGAGGATTCTGTTTGGGACTCAAACCCAGCGTGTAAAGTGTCAGTGAGGTGTCTGCGTGCGCTCACAGATAGGGTCTCTGGCCCGGGCGGGATCAGCGGTGACGGTAAACGGACCGAAGCCCAGCCGGTTCTCGGCTCGCACTCTGAACAGGTAGTCCTGTCCCTCCAGGAGGCCTGGGACAACGAAGGCTTGACTGGCGCAGGCCGCATTCACCTGATGGACAAAAAAAAAAGGCACCGGCATCAAGTCTTCATCCGCACAATCTTTTCAATCTGTCTGTCCTTCACTTCCTGCACCTTTGTCCAGGCCTTGTCGGTGACACATTTTTTCTCAATGTAGTAGCTTTTGATTCTCTCTCCGCCATCGTTGTCGGGCAGCTTCCAGATCAGTCTCATGGTTGACCGGGTGATGTCCGTCACCTTCAGATCTTTCGGAGGTCCGGGAACATCTGAAACCATGAAGGAACCGTTAGGCGACACCCAACCGAAAAAAAAAAAAAAAAAGCCCGTTCGATTCAGTCCAATTCAAAGAAGGAAGACGCACCGAGGACGTTGACTCTGACGTTGACGTGTTTCTGTCCAGACTTGTTCTTGGCCGTGATGGTGTAGCGTCCGGAGTGGGTCCTCAAACTAACGGGGATGCTCACAACGGACGTGGTGTCTGTGGACTCGACCTGAGGAGACGCAAGAGCGCGATGAGTTCGGGAGCGACACGTGTTCTCACACGCGAGCGGCCGAAGAAGTCACCTCCGAGTCCACGGGAAGCGTGTGCAGCTTGTTCTTCTTGTGAGATTTGGCTTTGCCCTCAAAGTCCCACGTCACCTTGGGGACGGGACGACCCTTGATGGTGGCGGGGATCCTGATTGGATCTCCGGCACGTACATAGAGCAGGTCGTCCACCAAAACGTCGATGGTGATGGAGGGCGGCACTGAAACACGAGCAGGAACATCGGCGACCGAGTCAGCGCGCTCCCGTCGCTTCATCTCGACGCGCCGTCGCCCGGAACGAAGACTTACACTGGACCTCTTCGATCAAGACCTCGCCGGTGCGGGGGCTGGGGTCCGATTCGCCAATGTCGTTGACGGCAATGATTCTGAAGCGGTAGCGCTTCAGCTCACGGAGGCTGGGCACAGTGAACTCGGTGGTGGGGTGCAGCTCTTCGTTCACCCTCACCCAATCGGATTTGCCCTCGTCCTGGATCTGGACGATGTAGCCCTTGATGGGGCTCCCGCCGTCCTTCTCCGGCGGCTTCCAGGTCAGAGTGACGTTGTGCTTGGTCTTGTCGGCCACCACGGGAGCGGCAGGCATGCTGGGAGGAGCTGGGCGGGGAGGTCAGAACAGTTCAGTCCCAAATGAAATCATCGAGCCGACGGCACAGAAACGCGGGACTGGAATCGCTGAAACCGAAATGACAGCTGGACTCTTCGCGGCTGCATAAGCCTTATCACCTTCGCACAAAATTGTGCAACTCCACTCTTTTGCAGTCGAGGTGAAAGACCTTCAACCACTCAGTGCTTGTCATACTGCGGGTTTTATCCTCAGCTTGTTCCCAGTAAGTCCAAAACTTCCAAAAGCCTTTTGTATCGCAGGTGAAACATTTCCAACGACATGGAAGAGTCCATTCGACTTGGGATGACTCCAAATGTACACTGACAACGCAAGGGTAGACTCACTCAGAGGGTCGACGGCAAATGCCGGGTCGGACGGTGCGCTGAACGGTCCCGTTCCGGCCGAATTGAAGGCAGCGACTCGGAACTCGTACTCACATCCTTCAAACAGGCGAGTCACCTGCCAGACACAGACGAGTTTTCCAGCCCAAATATTTTCGGAGAACTCGGCACGATCCGAAGACCTACCTGGTACTCCCAGCCTTTCATGCCCCTCTTGGTGACCGGCATCTTATTGACTCTGGCCCAGTAGGCGGAGCCTCTTTCTTTCTTCTCCAGCCAGTAGCCAATGATCATGGAGCCACCGTTGTCCCTCGGCGGCTCCCAGGTCAGGGTCACGGAGTTCTTGGAATACTCGGTGATGCTCGGTTTCTCCGGCGGGCCGGGGAGTCCGAAGGGGTCTGTGATCTGAACTTCCTCCGTGGCACAAGGGTCAGACTTGCCGTAGCGGTTCTCGGCTCTGACGCGGAACAGGTAGGATTTGTTGGTATCCAAGTTCCACACCTGCAGCAGAGGGAGGAGGACTTTATAAGAAGGTGTCCTCACGACTACGACCGTGACCACAAATAGCCGATATTGTTACTACAGTAGACGCAATTTATTAGCCTTACTGTCACTATGACTGAAATTATTTCTTTTCCTGGCTCATTCCATTTTTGCCAACATCCGCGGAAGGCGACTACAAAAGACATAAACGCCGGAGGGGGGCAAATCGGTTGCGGTTGACACCTTGACATTTTGGGACAGGCCTCTACGGCCTTAGTAGCGGTTCTGGGCTCTGACGCGGAACAGGTAGGATTTGTTGGTATCCAAGTTCCACACCTGTAGCAGAGGGAGGAGGACTTTGTAAGAAGGTGTCCCCACAACTACGACCGTGACCACAAGGACAAATAGCCTAGATTGTTCCTACACTAGACGCAATTTATCAGCCTCACTGTCACTATGACTGAAATTATTTCTTTTCCTGGCCAGCAGAGGGAGGAGGACTTTATAAGAAGGTGTCCTCACGACTACGACCGTGACCACAAATAGCCGATATTGTTACTACAGTAGACGCAATTTATTAGCCTTACTGTCACTATGACTGAAATTATTTCTTTTCCTGGCTCATTCCATTTTTGCCAACATCCGCGGAAGGCGACTACAAAAGACATAAACGCCGGAGGGGGGCAAATCGGTTGCGGTTGACACCTTGACATTTTGGGACAGGCCTCTACGGCCTTATTTGGAGAGTAGTTCGATGTCGGTGGCGAATCCATTTTGTCTTTGTGGCAGCCTCCAAAAAGTCTCATTTGAAAAAGCACAAACCAGTGCAGTCCATTTTTTTCAGTGGGTACGATTACAGAGTGAAGCGTTTCAGTTCAGGCGTGAGGACGACGCACGTGTTTTGTTCTCAAAATGGATATTGCATTTGATTGACGGTGAGAAGTGACACTTTTGTATTCACATTTTAAATGCGAGCTTTTGACTTTGACCGGAGTACAGGAGTCAAATTTGGGACTTTGATCTGAGCGGGATCCGTCGCGACGGAGTGACCGACTTTGATCCAGCCAGGTGCTCGCGGGACCTACCCGATACTTCTTGTCAATGATGCTGTTGGTGAGCTCCACCCACTGAGGTTCCGCTTCCCGTCCCTCTTCCTCCGCTTCCTCTGTGAGCACGTCCTTCTTTTCAACGATATAGTTGGTCAGCTCGCTGCCGCCATCATCCAAGGGGGCGTCCCAGTGCAACTGGCAGGACTCCGCCTTGATGTTGGACACCGCCACGTTTCTGGGAGGAAGCGGCCGGTCTGGGCGGAGAGACGAGGTTTAGTCGGGTTGCTTGTTTTTTCTTCGTTAGCTCTTCATTTGAAACATTTATCCAGAATGTCAACGTTGAAGGTCAATTTCGAAAGTCTGCTCTCTTGGGGGGTAAGAATGCGGTCCAATTGATAGAAAGGTGTCTTTTTTGGGGGCTCTGCTCTATCAGCTCAATTTTACAACGCAAAAATATCTCTCGAATAATTCCACTCCAATCATCTCACCCCCCCCAAGAGCAGTTGAAGTGGCTTTCGTCGGTGGAGATTGTTTTCTTACATTAGGGGACCGCCCTTTCTTGTGGTTTCATCAGGTTTCGCTCACCTAGCACCATGACAGAAGTGGTGTGACTGGCTGAGCCCATGTTGTTGGAGGCCGAGATGGTGTAGCCGCCGCGGTCCTTGCGCTCGGCGGCGGGGATGGACAGAGTGGACGTGCAGTTCATCCTGCCCGTCACCGCCGTCTCCATCAGCAGGCTTTCCGTGGGCTTCTCCAGCACCGCGTCGTCTTTGGACCACTCCACTTTGGGGATGGGGAGGCCGAGGATGTCGGCGGGGATCTCGACGCGCTCGCCCCTTTTCACCGTGATGCTGTCGCCCTTGAATATCTTCAGCATGTGGATCTCGGGGGCCACTGGGGGGGGATGAGAACAACATGGGATGACAGCTGATCGCTGACTCTGCGGCGGCACCATTCGTAGATAAAAAGTCATTTGACACAGGAGAACCGATGAGAAACCCGGGGAAAGGCTCATGGTCCCGTTTAATGACGGACATCGACGTCCAGTCCAACGATGGACGCAGCAGACTGGATTAAGCGGTGGACTGCGCTGTGATTCTTGACTATCTGTGAAGCCCTTGTAGAGGTATTTTTGCATGAAAATGGTGTCTATTTTCAGAACAAAAACATATCTCCAAAATGCCAATAAATGCAAAGGCAAGGTAAACAATCTTTCAGCCTCAGAGGCGCCCCGCATACGACTAGGTCAGGGTTCGGGAATTTGTCTCGACCGCTCCGTCATAAAGAAAACACTGTCGGTGGGAAATTGCTCAAGAGAGAGATGTAAGGCCGGCCTTAATTGAATTCATCGGATTTCATTTCATTTCAACAGGGAAGTTGATTTCAAAATAGTCACGGTTAACTTGACTGTTGAGAGGCTGGCTCGAGTATTTGGGGTTGCTGATCTCTGGTCTATCGAAAGCAGGGGTCACCAACATGGTCGCCCACACGAGTGGCTCGCGGACGCGTTCTCAAAACAGATCAGCGGTGATGGGACATTGCGAGTTCCTTGGAGTGTTGTCGTATTAATCATTTGCAAATGTCGACATAGGCAGAGGTGTGTAGAAATGAAGCGTTGCCAATTGATTCTTGTCTGTTTCCGAATTGTTGTGAGAATTCATGAACATCCTGATGAGTGAGTTCCTCGGGGTTTAGCCCTAAGCGTCAGCGGTCGGCTTCAAAAAGGTTGCTGAGCCCTGGACGAGGGCTTTCCACCCATATTCCACAGACTTGGCGTACCTTCATCGTCTTGGATGACCACGGTCAGCGCAAAGGACGGGTCGCTTTCCCCAATCAGATTTGCGCACTTGATCCTGAACTCGTACATCCAGGCCTCATCGAGGCCCTCCACCGTCATGTTCAAGTTAGGGCAGATTTCCGTGTTGCAAGGCTCAAAGGCCTGCTTGTCTTGACGCTTCTTCTCCACAAAGTAGCCGATGATGGGGCTGCCTCCGTCGTTGCGAGGCGGCTTCCATGCTAGCGTGATGGAATTCTTGGTGCGCTCCGTGTAGTGGAACTTCTCAGGCGGCGACGGCGGTCCTGCGCAAACCGTGACGACAAAAAACGTTTTCGAGATCGGAATGGTCGACGCGAGACACAATCACTAAGGAGGCCTCTTGGCCACTTGCCTTGTGGGTCCACAGCTTTGATGGGTCCCAGCTCGACAGGCGGGCCCATGCCATACTTGTTCTTAGCACTGACACGGAACATGTACTCTTGTCCCTCCATGATGCCCACGCACTCGCATTTGGAGGAGGCGGTTTCAACGGGCTGCCTCCACGTGTGCATTTTGGCATCTTTGCGCTCCACCAGGAAGCCGGTCAGGTCACTTCCGCCGTCGTCCACTGGGTCATCCCAATTCAGGAAGATCATCTTTTTGGTCACCACCACCGGCTTTAGGTCAGTGACTGGTCCGGGAACATCTACAAAAAGAAAGAAATAAATAAAAATTGTGGTCTGTCCACATTTTGGATCCATCAGCTCCCATCTTCCTAGACGTCCGTGCACTTACCCATGACCTCCACCCGGGTGAAGGCCGACCTGGTGCCGCTCGGGTTACACGCCGAGATCAGATATTTGCCGCAGTCCTTCCTCTGCGCGCTTTTGATGAACACAGTGCTGTTGTTGCCTTCGGTGAGGATCTCGACGCGGTCTTTGTCTGGTTTTGCATCGTCCACGGTCCAAGTGATAGTTGGGTAGGGTTTACCGGTGACCAGCGCCGGAACACGAAGTGTCTCGCCAGCTCTGATGACCACACCGTTCCTGACCAAAACGTCCAGTTCCACCGCAGGCATTTCTGCAGAAGGGAGTCAGCCGCCGACATTAAGAATCGAATGTCGCCTCATTCTCCATTTGACGTCGGTTCGACATTTTCACGTTCTCGGCTTCTGGCTGACCTGCGGGATTCCTGACGAACACTGACTCGGTGAAACCTGGGGCGCCCTCTCCAGCAGCGTTAATGGCAATGACTCTGACCAGGTACTTGGCTCCCTCACGGACTCCATACACTGTAAATGCCCGAGTCTTCCACGGACGTTCTGTAGACCTGGACCAGTCTTTGCTACCGGCAATAGTCTGGGGAACAGCACAATATTAGCGCGAGATCGACATTTTCACACTGTTAAATTCAGAGAGCTCCGAACGCACCTTATCCACGTGGTATCCCAGGATCTCGCCGCCTCCATTGTCGGCAGGTGCATCCCACTCAACGTCAATCGAGTGGTCGGTGGTTGCCACCACTCGGGGGACTGGCGGTCCTGGAGGTACTGTAAAACAAAGATCAAAAATGTAGACCGCTACTCCGACTCGAGCGCGTTCCTAGCTGGAAAATGTACGTACGAATCGGGGCTTGTGCCGTTTTAGGATCTGAAGGCACGCTGAACTTTCCGGGGCCCGCCTGATTTTCGGCTGCCACTCTGAAGATGTAGGTTAAGCCCTCAACGAGTCCTTCTACATTCAGCTCGGTGGAAGAGACCATGTTTCTGGCGAGCACATTCAAGATGAAGTCATAGCTGCCAACACGCAGTCGCATCCGCAGCGTTCTTTTTGGGCAATCCTCTACCTGTTGACCCGAGCCCAGTGGGAACTGTTGATCTCCCGACGCTCCACCCAGTAGCCCAGGATGGGGCTGCCATTGTCGTTTGGCTCCTTCCAGATGACCAGCATGCTGTGGGCCGTGACGTCATCAATTTCCGGCTTCTCTGGAGCCTCAGGAGGTTCTGGGAATGAAGGACGGCGATTCACCGTCAAGTAACCCATGCGAACCGGGGGCAATTCCTTGAGTGATTCTACACACCGAAGGGATTCTTGGCAACAAGAGGCTTGGAGATGCATGGCGGACCAGCTCCATATTTGTTCTCAGCGACAACTCTGAAGATGTACTCCTTCTTTTCAATGAGTTTGGGCACCAGATAGCGACACCCTCGAAGTGTGGCGGTGACACAGCTGTAGCCGAGCTCTATCTTGGAGTTGTCCTTCTTCTCCAGCGTGTAGTTGAGGATCTCGCTGCCGCCGTCATCTTTCGGGGGATCCCACTTGCAGATCACGGAGTTCTTCCTCACCTCTTCGAAGCGGAAGTTAATTGGAGGTCCGGGAGTGTCTGACAACAGGGAGGAAAGCGTTAGGCCCTGAAGCTCCGCAGTCCTCCACGAGACTCGTATGTGACCAGAGGAGAAGGAGGCGCGCTCTCACCAAGGACGTTGACCTCGCAGGTGGCTGAAGCGACGCCGTGGTCGTTCTCCACCTTCACCATGTAGACGCCGTGGTCAACACGCAGTGAGTCCTTGACAACTGCCGTGGACTCGCCCCTCCTGCTGTTGTTGATGGTCAGCCGCTCGCCGATCGTCGGGAAGTCCGTCTCCTCCGCTTCCTGCTCTGCCACCTCTTCCTTCTTCTCCTCTGCATCCTTCACTTCTCCCAGGTCCTGCTCTTTCTTCTCTCCTTCGGACGCCTCCTTCTTCACCTCCGCCTTCTTCTTCAGCGGTCTCTCCGGCCTCCTACGAAGCGGCTCGGGCCGGATCACCTGGTCGTTCCAGAACCAGGTGATCTCAGGGTACGGTGAGCCGGAGATATTAGCCTCCAGCCGGATCTCGTTGCCTCGCTTCACGTTCAGGCCAGACTGAAGGCTGCCGCTCAGGAAGACCTTCGGAGCATCTGACGACAAACGCGGACGGATCAAATCAGAGCCGAGGCGACGTGACCGTCCAAGTCGGAAACACGACGTCCCACAAATTTTCCTCACCGATTGCATCCAAGGCCTTGACAAACAGGGTGCTGCGAGACGGATCGCTGATGCCGGCTGAATTTTCTGCTCGGACTCTGAAGGCATAGCTCTTGGCCTCCTTTAGCCCTCTGACGGTGTACGAAAGGACCGGAACCAGGAAGTCGTTGCACCTCTCCCACCGGTCCTCGCCCTTCAGCTGCCGCTCCAGGATGTAACCCATGATCTTGGCACCTCCGTCATACATGGGCGGCTTCCAGGTCAGCGTTATGGTGCCCGATGTGGGATTGTGGGTCTCCACATCCACCGGCGGGTCAGGAGGATCTGATGCAAGATGAGACGCAAATGGGCTTCAACAAGAGACAGCGCCGCGTCACGTTTGGGCCAAACTGTCGCTTCTTACGTTTCTGGTCCTCGGCGATGACAGGGTTGCGTAGCTCGATGAACTCCCCTCCTCCAATCTTGTTTACGGCCTGGACTCTGAAGTAATACTCTCCGTTGGGGATGAGGTCTTTGACGTTCCAGCTCACTTTATTCTCTCCGGACATCACGGTGACATACGTCCTCCGGCCGGCTTCGCGACGCTGCAGCAGTATCAAACACCAAGTTAGGCTAAACGCCACTTGTTTCTGGAAGTTTGTGGATCTAAAACCCCAGGTGGCACGCACAGGCTAACAAATGCTTCCCAAACGACCAAAAGGGGCTTGATCAGTCTCTGTGGTACTGACCTGCAGGATGTAATGAGTAATTGGCGTGCCTCCATCGTAGTCGGGAGGATCCCAGGAGACCTTGCAGGAGCTCTTGGTGATCTCGGAGGCTACAATGTCCTTGCATGGGCCCGGAAGACCTGGAGATGCAGTTTGGAGACTGGTAAGAAACCCGCGGCTAACGCGTCGAGCGCTGCGGACGGGCCGCTCGGTTACCGATGACTTTGACGTTGATAGTGGCACTGGCAGCTCCGAGCCTATTCTCCAGAGTCACTTTGTATTGGCCCGCGTCAGAGTGAAGACTACTGTCCACCTCCAAGTGACAGCAAGTATACTCTTTCCTGGTGTGCACAAACAATCTTGTCAGCCGCGAGTCACACAAACACAAGTGAAATGAGCACCCACCTGAAGCCGCGCCGGTCGTCGGCCTTCAGCTCCTTGCCGTCTTTGTGCCAAGTGACCTTGGGTGAGGGAACGGCCTTGAAGGGAACCGGGATGTGCAGCTTCTCTGTCTCCACCACAACTATGTCCAGAGTCTGGAATTCTAGCGTAGGGTTGCCTGTAAATGCAGACAAGAGCAAGCGTGAAGCAGGAAAACCACCCCCCTGGCCACAACCCCCCAAAAAAAAGCGCTCGCTGCAAGCTAATAGCCCACGCTCCCATCCTTACAGTCGGAATCTTTGGCAACGACGTTCTCAGAGATATCGGAGGGCTCGCTGACTCCGACAGAGTTGATGGCTCTCACTCTCAAGATGTACTCCTTCTCGGGAACAACGCCTTCTTTCACGGTGTACTTAAGTTCCTTGACGGGACGAGAGTTAACCCTCATCCATTTCTCCGTCCCAGCCTCACACATCTCAATGTGGTAACCGGTGATGGGGGAGCCACCGTCCCTCTGCGGAGGCTTCCAGCCGATGGACAGGAAGTCCCGGCTGGCGGCCGTCACGTGGAGCTCGACGGGAGGCGACGGGACACCTGCAAAAGGCAAGGCAAGGCGTTCCTTTTACCTCACATCTTACGGAAAGCTTACCATCTCGCGCGTGGATTCCGGGTTGGGTCTTTTTGGCTTCCGTCAACTCGCCTGTTGGGTCTTCAATGGTCAGGATCTCGGTGGGTTCGCTTGGATGTCCGATTCCGGCCTCGTTCTCGGCGCGGACTTGGAACTGAACCTCTGTTCCCTCAATCACGTCGGTCACTCTGTACTTGCAGTCCGGCCCGGAAGTCTTTCCGCACTTCACCCAGCGGGTTCCGAGCTTCTCCTTCTTCTCGACGCAATACCTGCCGGGTGCGTGGCGGAACAGTGGAGCGTCAAAGGAAAGGCATGGCAACCCTTCACACGCAGCGTAAATGCCTCAATGTCCTTTACACAAGCAAAGAACTAAACAATGAATACATGAACATTTCAAAATCAAGATGAGGTCCCAACACAAAAAGCAAGTTTCATAAAACGATACAAATAAACGGCTGAACGACAAAACGCATCAAGTTCAAGAACAAAATAGAAGCAAGAAAGAATAGTTTTGATTTTCAGGCCAGATTTGAAAATGGCCACTGTTTGAGCAGATCGAGGCGGATAAAAACAATAAGTTGCTTCACTTTGTTTTGGATGGAGTTTTGGAAACACTCAATGAGCCCGAGGGGTCTGGAATTCTCCATAAGGATCCCATGGGTCTTGAATATATTGCGGTCCAAAATCCTTCTGAGCTTTGTGGCTCACAGGAAGATTTTGAAACAAATTCTTTAAAACTCGGAGGAGGGTGCGCGTCGCGCGTCCCACCTGAGGATGGGTCTGCCACCATCGTTTTTGGGCGCTTCCCACTGCAGGTCCACGTATCTTTTGGTCACGGCATCCACGGCGAGGGCGTACGGTGGCCCGGGAGTGGCTGGAAAAAGGTAAAAAATACCAGACACATTTTAAACGTCCCTGCAGCCAGCGATCCCACAGCGGACTCGGCCGAACCACCGGCTAAACTCACTGAAAGTGTCCTTGGCAAGCACGGAGTCCTCCAGCTCGCAGAAGGGCCCGAGGCCGACGGCGTTCTCGGCCGCCACGCGGAACACATAGAGCGAGCCTTCGTTGAGCGGCGCCACCGTGTACTTGAGCTCTTTGACGGTGGTGTCCACGGCCTGCCAGCCTTTACGCCGGACGTCCCGTTTCTCCACCACGTAGTTGGTGATGGGCGAGCCTCCGTCGCGCTCGGGCACGGTCCACTTCAACTCGGCGCTGTTCCTGCTAATGCCGGTGACCTCCAGCCAGCGCGGGGCCGAAGGGGGGTCTGCGCAGAGGGCGGCATCAAGAGCTCGTCACGCGACGTGGAAAAATTGCGGCAGCGGGCTACTCGTCAGACGACAGCCGGCGATATGAAGAGAAATGGACAACTAAAATTCCCGGTCAAAAACCGGAATCTTATATTTAGTTGGATTTATCGGCTATTGACGTGACTTGGATGATCTTAGACATTGAAGTGGGGAAACTGCATTGAAGGAAGAAGAGGGCAAACAGTTTGTGGCGCGTGGCCTGGTCCAGCCTCAGCTAACTCGTGTCTCTTACTGAGTCTCTCCTTGCAGAGGACCGGGTCGCTGGGCTCGCTGGGCTCGCTCTCCCCGGCCACGTTGACAGCTCGCACCCTGAACGAGTACTCCTGCTTCTCCATCAGTCCCTTCAGGAAGTACTCGGTCTTGCCGACGCCCTCGGCCACGCGGATCCAATCGGTGGTGCCGCTCTTAAGCATCTCGATGACATAGCCGTCGATCTTGGCGCCCCCGTCGTGCTCCGGCTTGGTCCACATCAGGAAGCAGGAGCTCTTGGCCACATCCTTCACGGTCGGTTTGCCAGGAGGCCACGGAGGATCTACAAGACCCATCGGGAGTTTAGTTGGGAACAAAACCTTTTGGGCAACAAAGTCCAAAGTGTCGTACCAATCGGATCTTTCACAAGGATCGGTTCAGTTTCCCTGCTTGGTTTTCCAGTTCCGGCCAGATTTTCAGCCAGGACTCTGAACTTGTACTTTTTTCTTGTGGGAAGACCTTTGATCCTGCAGACAAAAAAAAAAACACGTGTTATAGACCAGTGGTTGTCAAACGTTTTACACAAAGCTCAGTGACTCTCGAGGCAGCTCGTGAAGCCAAGTACCACCACATCTTTGAGGCTAAAGCATCATTTCAGGCTGCACAGACTCCCTTTATCCCAACCAACCTGTAGTTTGTGTCCTTGATGGGCAGCTTGTTGCATCGGATCCACCGGTCGTGGTCGGGCTCGTACCGCTCCACCCAGTAGCCGGTGATCGGGCTTCCCCCGTCCTCATCGGGCTCATACCAGCTGAGAGTCAGCGAGTCTTTGGCGATGTCTGAAGGTTCCAGCTTGTAAGGGGGGCCGGGGGTGTCTGGGAAAAAAAAAAAAAAACCCGCAAAAGATTAAATGCAAATATAATGAGTTCGACGCAACTGTAAGGAATCCCAAAACTTGAGCCGAGTCACGAGAAGGACATACCGAAGGGGTATCTGGCGATAATGGGCTCATGTTCGGCTGGTGGGCCCACACCGAACTGGTTCTCGGCAAAGACCCTGAAAATGTACTCCTTGAACTTGACCAGGTCGACCGCCCTGTAGGTGGTCTGTTTGACGGTGGACGAGAGCCGGTGCCAAATCTCACTGTCGGCAGCGCGGCGCTCAACGATGTAGTTGGTGACTCTGGAGCCGCCGTCGTCACGCGGCGGGTTCCAGGCCAGGAAGCAGGACACATTGGTAATTTCGGAAATGTCAAAGGCCGCGGGGGGGCCGGGTTTGTCTGAGGCGGGAGGAAACTTTTACTTTCATCGAGCCCAAAGACCATCACAGCGCGGAATCCCGATTTTCTCCCACCCCCTTACCAAGAATGTTGACGTCAACGGTGGCGGTGGCTCGGCCACAGGTGTTGGTGGCCTCGACGATGTAAGTCGAACTGTCGTCCCGCTTGGTCTTGGAGACGGTGAGGGTGGAGTGTCCCGGCGTAGTGTAGATATTGACTCGGTCGTCTGGTTGGAGGACCAGGTCGGCCTTGGTCCACTTGACCCGGGGCTCAGGTTTGCCTGTCACCTCGGCGGGGAGTTCAATTCTGCTGCCGGCTTTGGCGGTCAGACCGGCAAGCAGCTTGGCGTCCAGATGGATCTCTGGTGGCTCTGGAAGAGGGTTCATCGTGAACAACAATTAATTCGGATGAGAGTGATCAATTCAAATAGCAAGAAACTTGATTTTGGGCACTCTTTCCACATTTTCAATTTCCAAACATGCAATTGCTTTAATTTGATGATTTCCAAATATCACGTAGCTGTCGTCTTTACTTTTGACAATAACATTTTGAGCTGAAGTAATAAAGCTAATCTCCCTCGTAGAGAAAATATTTGTGTCCTCTGCAAAAACCAACATTTGTATAATATTAGACAGCATGATCGCATGCACTACTCTCTCCATTGGGAAAAGCTTCCACAGGTCTTTCTTTACCTTTGGGGTCTACAGCCTGGATTTCATCGGTGGCCTTGCAGGGCCGACTGGCTCCGAGTCGGTTCAGAGCTCGGACTCGGTACGAATACCACTCGCCCTCAGTCAGACCGGTGACTTGGCACTTGAGTTCGGGGACCAGGTCTCCGCAGGGCTCCCACTGATTGCTTCCTCTCTTGCAGCGCTCGACATTGTAGCCGCGGATGCTACTGCCGCCGTCGTACCTGGGGGGCTCCCAGGTCAGGAAAATCCCACTGGCCGACTTGTCTCTCCATCGCAGGTTCTCCGGTGGGTCAGGGACGGCTGGAAGACAAACCGCTCCAAGGTTACGGATATGTGTTCTTTGGGTTCTGTTGTGCTTCTTCAGTCCTTCAGGTCACAAACGAATGATTCGGTCGCTCACTGGCGGGAGAGGAGACGTTGACAGGCTCGTCGATGTAGGCCGGCTCTCCGGGACCGCACTTATTGCAGGCCGTGACCTTGAAGAGATACTCCTTGCCTTCAATCACGTCTGTGACGGTCATCTCCAGATCCTGGATGCCCGAAGCCACCTGACAGGGCGAGGGCGGGCGGCTCGGTATGGCGCGCTAGGCGGCGATGTCGCGGCCGAGAACATTGCTGTACCTTGACCCAGGTCTTGCGGGAAACCTCTCGTTTCTCCACCTGGTAGCCCGTCAGAGGACTTCCTCCGTCGTGCTCTGGAGGCTCCCAGCTCAGGCGAACATGCTCACGGGTCACTTCCGGAACCTTGAAGTCCTTCGGTGCGCTCGGAGCGGCTGGAGTGCCGCAGGGGGCAAACGTTAGTACGGATGCGTTTTGCTCAGCTCGGCCAAACGGAGCCTCTGCCGTTCCCTACCGATGACATTGACTTCGATCTCCCCGGAGACGGACGAGACGTCGTTCTCCAGCTGCAGGGCGTAGGTGCCTTTGTCTGGACGGACGCTGGGAGTCACCACCAGCTCCGCACACGGTGACCCTGACGCGTTCGTCGGCACCGGTCAGCTCCCTCTCCCCGAACGTCCACTTGGCGACGGGGACGGGATATCCGGTGATGGGGACTCTGATGGTGAGAGCGTTCGGAACAATCACCTCCAGGCCGTCTTTGAAGCCACTCAGGTCCATGGTGGGTCCGGCTGGAAAGGAGAGGCGAGAAAAGTGACGTCAGCCGAAGTGATGATAAAACTCAAAGAAATAAAAGCGTCGCTCACTGTGCGGGTCGTCGGCCAGCAGGGGTCCGATGACATTGGATGGGTCTGAGATTCCGGCAGCGTTTTCGGCGAATGCGCGATAGTTGTAATACGTTCCATATTGGAGTCCAGACACCTGAAGGAAAAAAAAAAACAAACAAACAAAAACAGCTTTCGTGAGAGCGATTCGCCATAAGGACGTCAAAGAATTTTGATTGTGTCCCGAGACATCTCACTTTATAGAAGAGGTCAGGGCAGAGGCGAGTGTTGCAGCGGAGCCACTTATCGCTTCCGTCCTCACAGCGCTCCAGGATGTATCCAGTAATCACGCTCCCGCCATTACTCAGCGGAGTCTCCCAGCTCAGTTGCACGGAGCTCTTGTTCTGGTTCTGCCATGCCAGGTTTTGAGGCGGGCTGGGAGGCTCTGTGGGGGGGGCACAAGTCGAGTGGAAATGTGATGCCGCGATTCGCGCATGGGTAAAAAGCACGGCTTTTGCAGTTCACAAAAACAAAGCGGAGAAAAAGTGAAAAAGTCAAAAGCCACTTTTGTTCGGGAACTCAAGAGAACGGATGAAAGGGCGTTGCCTATTTACAAAAGCAGATTCTTCAAACTGTACTCGGAGTGAAAATGTTTTTCCATCGACCCTATTTGATAGCGCTTCTGTCCAGGTGAGCTGAAGCCTAGTCCAGCTGATTTTGAGCGAGTGGTGCTTGGCCGCCATCTTATGGCGTCAAAAGCCAATTGCAAATCTTTTCTTCGGGCCGACTGGGTCAATTACGCCTGGATTTTTTTTCCCATTTGCGATTTGATATCCCCTATTCCGACAGCAGTTCGCTTGGGTTCAGAACGCTGTGGAACAACAAAATCAAAATGAAACAAATAACAAAAGTAACCCAAATGTTGCTGTTCAAAAAAACCCCAAAGGGAGAAATGAACATGCTAATTAAGAGTAAGGAGCTTAAAAAACCCCAAAAGAAAAGGTATAAGTTATAAGAAAGCCCAAAACTAGTCGAAACTTTGACTCACCGATAGCATCCATGATCGTGACGGGATTGGTTGCGGCGCTCGGCTTTCCGACGCCGGCTTTGTTCTCCGCCTTGACTCTGAAGATGTACTCCTTATTCTCAATGACGTCATTGACCACGGCGCTCAGCTCGTCGGCCTTGGTCACCTGGACCGGCGACCACTTGACCGACGTCCTGTCACGGAGCTCCACGACGTAAGAGGTGATGGGCGAGCCGCCGTCCGACTCGGGCGGCTCCCAGGACACGGTGCAACCAACCTTGGAGACCTTCCCCGCCGTCACGTTACGGGGAGGATCGGGAACATCTGAACACCGCGGGCGAAAGCGGACTCAAAAACTCAGCAAGGACTAAGCGAATGCAATTTCTGTCGAGATTGCCTGCGACTGCTGGCACTGGAAATTGTTGGAGTGCTTTGAGTCGGTCCGGAAATGCGGTCACGCGGAAACTCGCTCTCAGTGTGGGAAGAGTGGTGTTCACGGTGCGCTCGGAGCGGCTGGAGTGCCGCAGGGGGCAAACAAAACGTTAGTACGGATGCGTTTTGCTCAGCTCGGCCAAACGGAGCCTCTGCCGTTCCCTACCGATGACATTGACTTCGATCTCCCCGGAGACGGACGAGACGTCGTTCTCCAGCTGCAGGGCGTAGGTGCCTTTGTCTGGACGGACGCTGGGAGTCACCACAAGCTCCGCAAACGTGGACTTGGTGGTGACCCTGACGCGTTCGTCGGCACCGGTCAGCTCCCTCTCCCCGAACGTCCACTTGGCGACGGGGACGGGATATCCGGTGATGGGGACTCTGATGGTGAGAGCGTTCGGAACAATCACCTCCAGGCCGTCTTTGAAGCCACTCAGGTCCATGGTGGGTCCGGCTGGAAAGGAGAGGCGAGAAAAGTGACGTCAGCCGAAGTGATGATAAAACTCAAAGAAATAAAAGCGTCGCTCACTGTGCGGGTCGTCGGCCAGCAGGGGTCCGATGACATTGGATGGGTCTGAGATTCCGGCAGCGTTTTCGGCGAATGCGCGATAGTTGTAATACGTTCCATATTGGAGTCCAGACACCTGAAGGAAAAAAAAAAACAAACAAACAAAAACAGCTTTCGTGAGAGCGATTCGCCATAAGGACGTCAAAGAATTTTGATTGTGTCCCGAGACATCTCACTTTATAGAAGAGGTCAGGGCAGAGGCGAGTGTTGCAGCGGAGCCACTTATCGCTTCCGTCCTCACAGCGCTCCAGGATGTATCCAGTAATCACGCTCCCGCCATTACTCAGCGGAGTCTCCCAGCTCAGTTGCACGGAGCTCTTGTTCTGGTTCTGCCATGCCAGGTTTTGAGGCGGGCTGGGAGGCTCTGTGGGGGGGGCACAAGTCGAGTGGAAATGTGATGCCGCGATTCGCGCATGGGTAAAAAGCACGGCTTTTGCAGTTCACAAAAACAAAGCGGAGAAAAAGTGAAAAAGTCAAAAGCCACTTTTGTTCGGGAACTCAAGAGAACGGATGAAAGGGCGTTGCCTATTTACAAAAGCAGATTCTTCAAACTGTACTCGGAGTGAAAATGTTTTCCCATCGACCCTATTTGATAGCGCTTCTGTCCAGGTGAGCTGAAGCCTAGTCCAGCTGATTTTGAGCGAGTGGTGCTTGGCCGCCATCTTATGGCGTCAAAAGCCAATTGCAAATCTTTTCTTCGGGACGACTGGGTCAATTACGCCTGGATTTTTTTTCCCATTTGCGATTTGATATCCCCTATTCCTACAGCAGTTCGCTTGGGTTCGCTGTGGAACAACAAAATCAAAATGAAACAAATAACAAAAGTAACCCAAATGTTGCTGTTCAAAAAAACCCCAAAGGGAGAAATGAACATGCTAATTAAGAGTAAGGAGCTTAAAAAACCCCAAAAGAAAAGGTATAAGTTATAAGAAAGCCCAAAACTAGTCGAAACTTTGACTCACCGATAGCATCCATGATCGTGACGGGATTGGTTGCGGCGCTCGGCTTTCCGACGCCGGCTTTGTTCTCCGCCTTGACTCTGAAGATGTACTCCTTATTCTCAATGACGTCATTGACCACGGCGCTCAGCTCGTCGGCCTTGGTCACCTGGACCGGCGACCACTTGACCGACGTCCTGTCACGGAGCTCCACGACGTAAGAGGTGATGGGCGAGCCGCCGTCCGACTCGGGCGGCTCCCAGGACACGGTGCAACCAAACTTGGAGACCTTCCCCGCCGTCACGTTACGGGGAGGATCGGGAACATCTGAACACCGCGGGCGAAAGCGGACTCAAAAACTCAGCAAGGACTAAGCGAATGCAATTTCTGTCGAGATTGCCTGCGACTGCTGGCACTGGAAATTGTTGGAGTGCTTTGAGTCGGTCCGGAAATGCGGTCACGCGGAAACTCGCTCTCAGTGTGGGAAGAGTGGTGTTCAAATTTGGGGACTTTGGTGAAAAACTCCCAAAATGAACACTTTCGACTTGAAATCGGTATACGACATGTCCAACGTGGCAGAAATTTAGGACTCTGGGAGTCAAAAGTGGAACACGGGGAAGGAAGATGGTTTCCAAATTGTTCTGTATGAGCTGAGCGCTTATCTTGCTCAACCGAGCCTTCACTTGGACGCGGTGTAATTTTGGTCAGATGGGACCGAAACAAGCCGCTCGGACCTCCTGAATGAGGAGAACAAGGTGACCTTGCAACGGTTTGAATCAGCGGCGAAACGCGGAGGGAGCAGAGCAGCGAAAATTTGCGGACTCATCAGACCCTTTTGTGCATTTGGAGAACAACGTGCACTTTTGTGTGAATGTTCTTCAGATGAGCTTCAAACGACTCCCATACCAAACTTGTTCTTGGCCTGGACGGGTTCGTCCGTTTCCACGTGGGGTCCGCTGCCAACTCGGTTTCGGGCGCAGACTCTGAAGAGGTACATGGAGTCCTTCTGGAGTCCGGTCACGGTGTACTCTGGGCTCTCGGCGTGCTGCGTGGCCAGCGTCCAGGTCTTGCGTTTCACGTCCCGTCTGTCCACCACGTACTCGATGACTTTGCTTCCGCCGTCGTTCTCTGGTTCCTCCCACGCCAAGCTGACCTCTCCGTCTGCGGTGTCCACGACCTGCAGGTTCCTCACAGGCCCCGGGACATCTGGGGTCCGAACAGACACGGGTTTTATTCCTGATGTGATCGGCCTACCGACGCACCCCAAACGACCCGACCCCACGCGAGCCCCGCATATTCGTGAAAATGACATATTTCCCAATTTGCTTGATTCGCTCAATCACCGATTCCCGATGTTTGCATTCAGGCCAAAAGCAATCCAAGTAGGACTTTGGCGGCATGTTTTTGCTGGTTGCTTGGTTACCGAGGCACGGAAAACCCTACCGATGACGTCCAGGTTGACGCGGGCTTCGCCCTCTCCGTGTTTGTTCTTTACGATGACCTTGTAGCGACCCTCGTCAGACTTTCTGGGGTCCTTCATCCGGTACTCTGTGCAGTCGGGAGAAGTGTAGACGCTATCCTGGGGCAGACTCAAGTTGTCGTACAGCCAGTCGGCTTTGGCTTGAGGGTAGGCGCTGAAGGGGACCGTCATGACCAGGGGTTTCCCCGAGTCGGTGACGTAGTTTTGGTCAGTGGTCTTGATCTGGGGCGCCGCTGCAGGAGCAAGATCAGGGCGGAGTCGCAAGGAAGACGGAAAGAAAAAGACAGCCAGTCAAAAAGAACGTTCATCCAAGCAATAGAAGCGGTCGTGAAAAGGTGGAGAAGGTTGCCGCTAGATTAAAAAAAGAATCCATTTGGCGACCCACGGTCTCTTACCCGCCAGCTCCAGCTTGGCCTTGGCGTCTTTGTCCTTGACCACCACTCTGTACTCGCCCTGGTCTCGAGGACGGATCTCGGAGACCTGCAGCCGGTGGACTTTCCCTTCGCTCATCATCTGGTATTTGTCTCCCTGCACGACGGTCATGTTGTTCCTCAACCACTTGACTTGGACTCTGTCCTTGTTGAGCTCCACCTCAAACACCACGTCCGAGCCGGGCGGCTCCAAAATGTCCTGCGGCGGCCTGACGATCTCCACCGGGGTCTCTGCGGAGCGCAAGCCCAGGCGTGAGGTCGCGGAGCTCGGAGGAAGTCGCAAACAGAGCATCACCCGCCAGTCTCACCTTCTACAAAGAGCCTGGCTCTGGACCGTTTGTCATCGATGCCGCACGCGTACTCGCACTCGTCGTCCGGTCGACACTCTTTGATGCGCAAGTAGCACATGTTTCCGTCTTTTTCAAACGTGTATCTAGGAGAAGACGGAAGATGTTTTTTTAGAGAATGCATTTTGTGTTGAAAGTTTGCGTGAATAATGAAGAGATGAAGCAGAGCCCAATTGTTGACGCGTAAAATGTGAGACGTGCGGAATATATCTCTTCATTGTCACCATTTTGGAGGGAGGATTTGGGAATTGAAGTGTGAAAAACTTCTTGGAATGGAAACCATGTCCGATTTACTTCTGCATGTTTTACTCTTATTTTGAAATGTGGAAACGCTTTTGGAATGAGTATGAGCTGAACAGTTGCAGTCGGAAGGGTTGAAATAGTTGAAAAAAGGCGGACATTCGAGGTAGCTCTACAAATGTTGTTTTTGGCCTTTCGTTTTGAAATTTCGACAGGTGATTTTTTTTGAAATGCAGGTGTGACCGCTGTTCAGCAAGCGTCAACAAGTGCGGCTGTGCAAACAGTGGGTGAAGCCCAAACACCTGGGTCCTTCTCTGATCTCGCGTCCGTCCCTGTACCACTTGACCTCGACCTTGGCTTTGGTCAGCTTGCAGGAGAACTCGGCGTCCTCGAACTCGGTGACGGTCTGGTCCTTCAAGTGCATGGCAAAGTCGGCGGGCGCCTCGCTGATGATCAGCTCGGCCGTCGACTTGTCGTCGCCGGCCACCACCGTGTACTCGCCCTCGTCCGCCAACGTGCAGTCCTTGATGGTCAGCGTGTGCTTGTCTTTGTCCACCCGGTAGACGAGGCGCTTGCTGAAAATCACCTCCTCGCCGGCCTTGAGCCACTTCAGAGTTACGTTGTGGCGGTTGACCTTGCAAGAGAAGCTGACCGTCTTCTTCTCCTGCGTGTCCACGTCCTCCGGAGGGACCACAATCCTCAAACGTTCCTCTGCGAACGCAAACATCAGAACGTGAGCCTCGGCCCAGGGAACGTTGTCAAATACCTTCCCCGGAAACATCTGCATATATCGCAAGGTAGCAAACCAAGTGACAAAAGCGCAGGTACTGCCGTGAAACAAAATGACGACCCACGAGCCGGACTCACCTTTGACGACAAGTGCGCAGGAGCTCTTGGCCTGTTCTCCTCTGTGATTGCTTAGGTGGACGCTGTAGTTGGCTCGGTCGCCCTGCTGCGCGTCTCGGATCCTCAGCGAGAAGATGTTATCTCGCTGGCCCATCACGTACTTGCTGCTTTCGAAAACCGTCTCCTCGTCTTTCAGCCACTTGGCCTTGGCGCCCTCATTGTTCACCTCGCAATTCAGGACCACTTCCTGACCTTCTCCGGCCTCCGTGTCCTTTAGCGGCGTGATGATCCTCAGCTTCTCTGTAGGCCAGCGGGTGACATTGAAATTAGCCTCATGGCAAAAAGTGCTCCAACGCGGCCATCAAATATGGAGGTGGCCGCCTCCGCCAAATTACGGTGCGCGTTAGGGAGCCCATGACAAGCGTTATCTGACCGGCACCATTTTCAACTGCAATTGCGGCATTCATTTGGAGCAGGAAAAACCCCAGCGGGGTTACTTTTTGTCATTCCTTACCAAGTACCGTCAGATGGGCGCTGGCTTTGGTGGCTCCGATCGCGACCAGGTACTTGCACTCGTCGCTGAGCTCACAGTTCGTGATGACCAAAGTCCTTCTCTTGCCATCACTGATCATCTGGTACTTGTCCCCGGCCTCCAGCTCCTTGGCGTCCTTCTGCCATTTAACCTCAAAGGTCTCCTTGGACACGGTGCAGGTGAACTCGGCCTTTTCGCCCTCCACCACCTCAATGCTGCGAGGCCTGGAGAGAAACTCGGCCGCCAGTTCTAGAACAGCGGGGGAGAAGAAGCAGAAGTTTGGATGAGACAAGAAAACACCTGAGTCACGTGGAAAGGAGTTATTCGATTGGTGGCCGAATGAATGAAATTCCCAAGTTGAGGAGGCAAAGCATTGTGAAAAAACAGCCGTCGGACAGGAAGCGGAAGTGTGCGTACCGTTGACCCTGAGGTTTCCTGAGGTTCTGACCCTGGGACTGAGCCGGCAGTTGTACTCTCCGGCGTCTGGCATCTTCAGGTCCTGAATGAGGAGGATCCTCCTCCTGCCGTCCACAATGTGCTCATAGCGGCCGCCCTCCGGCAACTCCTCGTCGCCCTTGTACCAGATGACGTCGGCCTCGGGTTTGGAGACTTCGCAGATGAGCTTGACGCTGTCGGTCTCGGTTCCCTCCACGTTGGACAGGTTCTTGGTGAACCTGGCCTCCTCCTCTGTGAGAGACCACCACCAGCTTGAGGCACACCTCATCAATCATTGTCATGTTCTCCTGAGTTCATGAACACTTAGACCTGCTCACTACTATATTTTATGCTGGACACAATCGGGGTACTTGTTCGAAGTCAGTCTTTGTTTGTTTTGTTTTGTTTGTTTTGAAATACAACCACTGGGGCAAGCGCCGTTCTTCTTACCGATAACAGTAAGCATGCCGGAGGTCTTGGAGGTCTTGGCGTCGCACTCATACTCGGCTTCATCATCCATCACCGACTTGTGCACAACAAGGACGTGTTGGCGTCCCAGAGCAGAAATTTCGTACTTCTTCCCTTTTCGGATTTCACACCCGTCCTTGAACCAGCGGACCTGCGAGGAAGCAGCGGGGACGAAAATTGTCCGACATGAAGTTGAACGACAATGACCGCACGGGGGCTGGCAACAATGACGGCCCATTGGCGACCGAGCTCACCTTCACATTCTCTCGGGATAATTCACACTCGAACCTGGCAGATTCCTTCTCTGGCACCTCCAAGTCATGGAGTGGCTTGGAAAACTCCGCATGCAGAGCTGTGGGGAGGGACACAAAAGTTACACAGCCTCAGTCTTTAGCTCAGGGCTTTGTGAAAGATTCCTCATAAACCCTGAAGAAACCCTGAACCTCCTGGACAGACCCAGGTGGAACTCCTCCTGGCTTTTTATGGTCAATAAATAACTGAAAACTGAAAGCGTTCACCTCCAGAGAATGAAACGTGAACCCCATCAGTTCCCGAGATTCAATAAGACCAGCTCGGTCTTCAAATTAAGGCCTTTGTGAAACATCCTCGTGAAACATGATGAGTGTTTCCCAGTTCCCCATGACGAACTCCAACTAGCTTGTCACTTTCTAATGAATTTCTGAAGTCCAACGTAAAGCTCTTTCTTCCAGAGAAAAGTAAGTGAACCCCACTCAATCCAGTTCAACCCAACTGAGTCCTCGGCGCTTGTTCTCAATGGGTTGTAAAAGCAGGGTTTGAGAGCAGGCGGTCTCAAACTCAGCCGATCATTTGCATCAGGTGTGGGCAGTGATGTGGAAAACATGCAGGGATGCAAGTTTGGGACCCCTTTTCTAGAGCCTGAGTAGTTGTGGAAGCGGGTGAGGTACTTGCATCCAGTGTTGACAAAGAGGGGAGAATCCTGAATTCTCTCGTGGTGGAACCCCAACCAGAGTTTCACTTTTTGGTGACTACCTGACTTAGAAACATAAAGGTTTTTCCCTCCAGAGATCAGGAAGTGAGCCGCACCAAGTCAACTAAGTTTTTTTTAAAGCTTGCCCAAAAGTGGTCTCCAAAGGTTGCGTTTCTCATTTAGTGGGTGCTGGTACTCACGTTCGACGTTGAGGAAGCAGGAGGTCTTGAATTCTTTGGCAGCGCAGGAGTAGGTCCAGGAGTCGTCCAGGGCGCATCGGTGGATGAGCAGCGTCCTTTTGCGTCCGTCCACAAGCATCTCGTACTTTTTGCTCTTGTGGATCTCCTGCCCATCTCTGAACCAGCACACCTCGGCATTGTCCCGGGAGACTTCACACTCCAGAGTGGCGGTGGCCTCCTCCTCCACCGTCTGGTCCTCCAGCGGCTTGGTGAACTCCACCGGTGGCTCTGAACATCCCAAACGACAACAAAGCACTTTCAGTACCGATCCGGGACAAGCGAGCGGCCCCCCCATTTGGCTTTCGACGGGCCACCTTTGACAATGAGTCTGGCGTCGCTTCGGCAGTCTTTGGTGGTGAGTCGAACTTGTCCCGCTTCATGCAGCTGAACGTCCCTTAGGGTCATGCTATGGACTTTGCCCTCCAACTTCAGTACCACCTGCAGGTCAAAGTGAGAAGGTCAGTCTGGGCCCTTGAATGCTGCTTGTGATTCGTTTTCTTTTATGGCTAAGGCCTCGAAATGAAGGCACCACTCTAAGAACGATTGTGGTGATGACACCTTAGTTCTTGTTCATGGAGCCATCCTTGACCTTTGTTTCATGCATGACATGCATTGTAAACTCAGAGATGCCCAATACTGAACAAAATTGAATTCAACCACGCAATTGTGTCCGTTACATGTTTCTAACCTGTTTATATTAAATTCAGTACAGAGTATTTGTTACACAAGAATTCAGTCTTTCCTCATTCGTTCAGTGGCTTTAGATAACTTGATGCGTTCGTGTCCGTTTCTTTTATTAAAATCCGGTTGCAATATAGCCTCTATTTTTCAGGTACTGCCGGTGGGCCTGGAAGCTACCCCATGCCAGAAGCGCTACCGCAAATTTACACAATGAATCGACAGGTTGTTTTTTTTTTTTTCCCCCAGTGAATGCTTTAAAAACAACAGTTGAAGAACTCACTGCAAGTCAAGGGCAAATAATGCTCCGTTTCATATTAATCAGGGTATTTCTTAGGGGTTCTTTGCAGTCTACTTCTTTCAGGGCTGTTGGGCCGTACAGAAGATGGTCCGACAGTTGTTTGAGAACTGGGGTTTCTTGCACTGTCTGATGCAGGACTTAGTCACGCCCAAACGGATAAGAAGGGAACAAAAACCAAGTAGTTCCCTGCCGATTCAAAACTAACAAGCGGGCTCTCAAAGCGAATTGAAACCATTTGAATTTTGAAAAGGTTAGGAAAAGCTTTCTTTCATGGAGGCCCCCCCAAACTATGATCGCCTTGGTGAAAATAAAGTGTGACGGGATGACTTGGCGTTTTTCCTGTGCTGCGTTCAAAACGTGAGAGCAGGGCCGATCACGGAAAACCCGAAGGAAACTAGCAGCGCTTTCTATGGCCGGGCGCCTGACGGTGTTAAAAAAGACAATGTGTGAAAAGCGGGCGGCCACCCGCGACCCGCCAGCTGCCACCCGCCATCTGCGAACCG